GGGAAGAATTTAAAAGGTGGGGAAAGCAACTGTGTTTAATTTAGTGCAAAGGTGAAATTTCAGCTGGGAAGATCAGAGCTGCTTGGCTGGGTCACCACAGAGAGCCCATCGATGGGGGGGCAGTGAAAGTTTATCCTCTCATAGCCCCCATCCCCTCCCAACCTGCCCAAGTGTTCAGTTTTCAAAGCATTGAATCCAACAGATGAGCCCTTTGATTTTCCTCCCCAGTGTGTGCTGTCCTAAAATGTCATGCTTTTTAAAAAGAAATCACCTCCTGTAGCTCTGAGGTTGTTAGCATTTTCAGAGGTAGAGTAAAAAATTAATTGGTTGTGGAGCAAAATGTTGATAAAATAATCCATTTGATGCCTCAAGACGACCAGGATTCACTCAAACTCTAGTACTTGGCATTAAAATGTAATATAGAAAACAGCTTCAACTTTTTATTATTATTATTATTAAAGTCCCTTTGCAAATAGACAGCACCAGCAGAGAGGAGTCAAAAAGTCACTGTGACTTCCCTCCATGCAAAAGGGACATGGATTTTCTTTTTCTTTCATCCTTAACCATCGGAAAACCTCTTCCAGGTCTTAACTAAACCCATGAATGTTCACACTTGTTTCAACTAGCACTGCAAGCAGAGAAGGTTCCATTGTATGACAAAAGAAAAATTGGTCTTAGCGATTTGTTATTTAATCACATTATTTAATATTTTAGGGTCAAATTGAAAAATGGAAGAATGAAAAATAGATTTCTTAAGCCAATATATTGCCATGAATTCAAGAGTCTCCCAATAAGCTTTCATGGCAGAGGATGAAATAGCTCAGTCTCTCTACTCAGAGTCCAACACCTCACAATGTGAAAATGAAGGGGAAGAACAAGGAAGTGATCTAGACAGTGACTAGCATTAATATTAGTGGCTGACTCAGATGTTGATGCCAAGTTATGTTTGCTGCTCTTTTTTTGCTCTTTCTCTTTCACAAACAGTTCATCAAGGAGTTGGATCTTCTCCAGTTTGGCTTTTTCTATAAATCAAAATTAGCATCATAACTGAGTAATTCTGCTCTTGTTAGTGGATTTCTTTAGCATTATGGAGGTTTAACAAGCCCATCTCTGCATTGCCCCAGCATGTGGATGGGGCTACCTACCATTTTAAGGAGCAGAGGAACTGGTGATGCCATGTTCAGCACTTCCCCTAGCCTGCTGGAAAATGACCCCCACCTCAGGTACTACCCAGAGTAGTATTTTTTTTCATCTGCTAGCACAAGTTGACCTGCCATACTTCATTCCATTCTACATGAATGCCTCCATTCCTGTTGGTTAGGGTGTGCTTTAGCTGGTGCCTCCCTTGTCCCCCATCCTGAAATTAGTTGTTGTGGTTATTCAGTTTATGTTTGTTTATTTTTGGAAAGGGAAATGATGGACTTTTCTTTATTTTGTTGTATTTTGTTTTGACTTGGTGAATTAACAAGAGTTCTATCAATTCAAGAGCTCTATTTCTCCTTATAGCCTAAGTGTCAGGATGAACTCTACAACAGCTGTTTTCTGCAAGTAGGGGAATGGAAAGCAATTGGTGATTGATACCCTGGAATAAGCAAGAAGGGGAAAGAAGCAAGGGAGCCCACCAGTTAGGAGCCATATTAACCATGGTCCAAAGAAAATAGTTAGCCATTACTGTGGGTAGGATTTCTGAAGCTGGCTTCATTTTAGCTAGTTCACACCCAGAAGACAATCAAGACTGCAGTGCAGGAAACCTTTAAAGTCCAGCTGAGAGCCCCATGAATGGAGTCTATTTAGAACAGAGTGGAATATAGAAGTAGCAAAGCTGTTAAAACTCCTGGTTTAACTGAAAGCAGAGATTGGGAGCCTTTCCTGTAAACATTCACACTCCAATGTCTTTGTGTTCTTTTTTCTCTGCGATTTTCATCTGCGGCGACCCCACAATTGCCTCTCCCTAGGGCCCAGGGTGAGTTTCATCTGTACATTTATTTTCATGGTGGCCTAAATCCATGCTGGAACCTCAAATGTTAACTTTTCCCATAAGATGGGGTGGATGCCAGACATTGTGGGTGGCGACTGACACCCAACTCTTCAAACAATCTGGGCTCCAAAAGATAATCTTTAGAAGCAAGATTACCTTTCCCAGCATATTGGCACCACTGTGTTCTTTCAGAGGGCAATGTGTGGCTAGGCCTAGATGTAACCTTTCTAAACATGGCTTCTGCCCAGGCCTCAGAGTCTGGGCATGTCATGGGTTCTGTGAGCAATATCCGTTCAGCTTCTGTGGGTGTGTTTATGTTTCTCATATGAAAATAGGGAATCTGAGGTTACTGTTGTGCTGGAAAAATGTCAAGATTCAATTGGCAATATCCCACCAAACCACAAGTTTGCAGGAGACAAAAAACAAAACCCTTGAATTTCTAAAACCATGCCTGTATACTTGTATGTATCTCTCTTTCTCTCTGTGTGTGTTTTTGTATATATGTGTATGTATCTGACTGAAAAGACTAAAATATATGAAGAGAATAAATCATATGAAGAATGGTTGCAGGATTTGGGTTTGGCCAGTCTAGAGAAAAGAAGGACTAGAGGTGATATGATAGCAGCATTCCAGTATTTGAGGAGCTGCTACAAAGAAGAGGGGGGAGGGTGTCAAAGCTTATTTTCCAAAGCATCAAAAGGCAGAATAAGAAAGAATGGATGGAAACCAATCAAGGAGAGAAGCAACTTGGGATGAAGGAGAAACTTCCTAACAGTGAGGACAATTAATCAGTGGAACAGCTTGCTGTCAGAAGTTGTGGGTGCTTCATCACTGGAGATTTTTAAGAAGAGACTGGACAGTCACTTGCCTGAAATGATATAGGGTCTCCTGCTTGAGCAGGGGGCTGGACTAGAAGACCTCCAAGGTCCCTTCCAACTCTATTCTGATTGCTTGCTTGCTTGATTGATAAAGAACACCCCCCCCCAAAAAAAATTGTTCCCTGAATGAAGAGAAGACATAATATAGTGTCCAATATCCTTGAGAAGCCTCTTGCCCTTTTCTTAAAGCCTGGTTTAGCTCTCAGGTTTATTGTTTGATGGAACATATGTTTTACAGATCTGTCATGTGAAAACTATTAAAAAGAGGAATTAGAGCAATAACAATAAGCCACGTAACCATGGTGCAGTTAATCCCTGAAGTTTGACTATTAAACTATTGCTTGTGCATATGAAGCCAGATCACATCATGCTGTGTTAGCTTTTCAACAGTAAATTTTCATTGGGATGCAAAGGGTTTTTCTTTTTTCTTTTAAAGATTATTAGTATCACATACTTTTGGCTCAGGAGTCCAACTCTGTCTCCACATTGGCTGTCTCCCAACATAATTTAGGTTGTGGAAAGGGGATGTCTGCATACACTAAGTTTTGGGTTGCAAAATGAAGGATCAATTGACAAGAATATTGCTGCTCAGTGATTATGAATGTGTTGTAAAATAGATAGCTCCATAAACAAAGCTGCTTGATTTAATTCCAGGTCAAAAATTACTTTCCTGATTGTAATTTCCACAATCGTTTTTAACATATGTTTATTAAAATACAGTAAATCTTCCTGGTAACAAATCACAATTAAAGAGCAAGTACATATTCTTTCTATTTTCATAAAGCAGTGGTTTCTCCTGTCCCCAAATTTAACCCAGTTTCAGGAAGGTAATTCTTTTTTTAAGCTATTTGATTTATGATCTTTGCTTTTGTTAGCCCGTGGGGCAGTTAATTAAATGTAGAAGAAAAACAATTTATAAAATAGTGAAATGGTCATATTAAAATTACCGATAAAATAAAGGGATATGGTCATCTTTGTGTCTCAATAAATGATGGGTAACACACTGAAACCCTAATTCTGTGGGAATTGTGGATTTAGATTCTACAGTTCTTTTAATCTCACAAGTGTTTTCTTCCAGACATGGGTACCTTCTTCCTGCTTGTATGAGATCACCAACTCTGTAGTCAGGGCTCAGAAACGTTAAGGGTAAGAGAATTGTGCCAAACACAAGCAGTGTGCAGCCATTAGAGCAAATCAGGAAAGGTCCATGGACAGTGTTGGCATCTAGAAGCACAACTGAGAGGCTCTTCCACCAAGTTCATGAAACAGCTACATGAAGCTGATAGTAAACTATGTAATGTGAGCAAGCTGTTTCCCATCAAAAGCCAAAAGTGTGGCTTTGAAAAAGACCAGTTGTCCTGAGAAATCCACATACACACAACCAAGGTGACCAAGTAAGATCTTGGTAAATAAAAGGTCCTGAACTTTTGATTCCCAACTGGCCACGATGGCAGTATTCTACCTCTGACCCTATTTAATTCTCTGCCGGTCTGGCTCACTGTGCAAGATTCAGTAGATGTCAGAATATGTCCCAGTCATATTCCACAATGTAGGTGAAATAAATAAGCTGGTAAAATGCTGAACTTGGCAATTGCTAGATCCACAGAGAAGCTGCACCTTTCTTAATGCTAGTTATGTTAGTGGTAGATCTGTCCCTTTGTATCACTCCCTAATGTTGGCCCTGGCCCTGGCATGGTAACAGCACCAGCTGCAGCCATTAAAGCTTACCATTAGCAAGTTCCAGGGTCATGGGAAGGTTTTTAATTTGCCAATTCTAAGGGAGAGGAGAATTGAGACAACAAATTGGCAAGGGCATTCAAGAGGATGCATATACACTTGCATATGTATAAATGGGATTTATATCCAAATTCGGAGCTGTCTTTCAGCAATTACTATAGTTTCACAATTGTGGATAACTGAACACTCCATCCATTCCCACTTTTCATCCAATCGACATAGTCTAAAAACCAGAACTCAGTTAATGTTACTTTTAAAAGACAACATTTAAGACACAGTGCTTTAGTATACACCTAGACAATCTTTTCCTTGTGTGTGTGTGTGTAGTATGCTTAAATCAAATCATTGAAATCCAGAAAAAATTCATTTGTGTTACAAGCAGAGACTATTGTGATATAATGGGCAACATGAGATTAGAATCAGGAAACCTGGATATAAATGCTCGCTCATTGTATCAGTACTTGTTAATGGAAGAGAGCTTGCTGGTAGGAAGAGTTGGTAGGAAAAATGACAGTGTCATACATGAATATATAAAAGCCTAAATGCTTTTTGTATATTTTTATTTATGGAGGGCATTGTATTTTGAACGCATTGGCACCCTATCTGCATACTGATAGAGTGCCAATGTTCCTGTTCATAAAACTAATTCTAAGAATAGAGAAATTATTTGAATGAGACTTCAGAGAGAAAACATGTCACTTATCCTGTAATTCTGGAACTATCCCTTTCAACAAGGGGCAACTACGGCCCCTTTACATCTGTGGACTCCAACTCCCAAAATTCCTGAGTTAGCAAGGAATTCTGGGAGTTCACGTCTACAGGTCATGAAGGGGCCATAGTTGCCCACCCCTGCAATTGAGGTTTCGTGTTTTTGAAGCAAAAGAGACAAAACTCTACCCTTTCCCATGAGTTAGAAAAAGTTAAATGTTGGGGCACTTTGTATATTGGTTGGCTATCAAGTAAGCTGAAGACTTGTGGGCCCCTATGTTTTGTTAAAAGGGCATTTCCTAAGCACAATGGTTTCTTTCATCAAGCAATCTGTTGCTTATTTCATAGTAATCCATTATAGATGGAATAATAGAGACCATATTTCTGTTTGGCAACTTTCCATGTATGTTTTAGAGATGATTACATTTGTTATTGGTAATGTAAACATTATTCAAGATCTTCATTTTAGTCTTGTGAACTCACCAGCAAGTTCATTTTGTTTATTTGTGGTTGGACAGCACATAATTTCTGTAGCTTTTGCTGAGCAGAAAAAAAAATAACTATCTATGTCCATCTCACCTTTGTATTATTCTATTACTACACGATAGATGAGGCCTGAAATAAAATTGTTTTAAAGATGACAGTTCTGCTGGGCTGGATGACTGTGCTCTTATGGACCTGGCTTAAGATGAAGTTGCAGGTCTTCATTGAATTATTAATAATGAAGATTTCTTAGTTATTTGGCTGAGTGTTCTATGTTCCTTAATAACTTTTTCTTCTCTTGCTTTTCTCCTATTAGCTGGATTGCCGTTTTTGATCATTGAAACAAGCACAATTGCACCCTATCCACGGGGATTTTACTGTAATGATGAAAGCATCCGTTATCCTATGAAAAGTGGAGAGACCATCAATGATGCTGTCCTGTGTGCTGCAGGCATTCTTATTGCCATACTTGCTGTAAGTAAGACAAATATAGAAATTTGCATCTAGTAACCAAATTTGCAACAAAATGTTTTCTGTCTTTAAGCAGAATAATTGGCAAAGCCATAATGTTGGGTTTTTGGTTTGACATGCTTCATGACTTCAGCCATGGTTGGTTTTTTTAAACACCAGGGCTTAAATTAAACTCAGCCACTGGATCGTAAACAAAATACATGTACCTGTCTTTTGGTACTATTCATAAATAGTTAGTCATTAAACTATCTTTGGGGGGGGGAAGGATGTGGAATAACTGGCTTTCATATTACACTTTCAACTGCAAAATATATTTGGCCACTGTACAGATCAAAATAATGTAAATGAAGTTAGAGTATCCTATCTCTGAGGATGGTATTAGGCGATTAAGGATGTAGCACTTGGAAAACTTTTATAAATCAAAACATATACAAATAATCTCAAAGTAAGGACATGATGGCCTTTCAGAACCATGCAAACAAGATAAATCCCACAAAATTTAGTTCATACCATTTTCCAGTAATGTGCAGTTAGGAGTTTCGAAGGTTCTAGTGCACAGTATCCATAGATTGATAGTTTTTGTTTTTTTGGTATTTGTATTTCATGATGAATCATAAAGTATATTCTTTCTTGGAATTAGCAATTATCTGTAAATATTTCTCACATGGTATTGAGTTCAAAGATAAAAAATGAAGTTTAATTTGAAATGAAATGTGAAATTGGAAAAATGAAGAGAAGTAAGGTCTATAGTATATAGCAGGGGCCTTCAAACTTGGCCCTTTTATGACTTGTGTACTTCAACTCCCAGAATTCGTCAGCCAGGTACTGGCTGAGGAATTCTGGGAGTTAAAGTCTACAAGTCATAAAAGGGCCAAGTTTGAAGACCCCTGCTATATAGGGTCTACAGGTGTATATTACCACAGTTCTTTGCAAATAATAATTTGCTCGATACTCTTGCTTGGAGACATTTCTGCAAATATTTTCTCATTATCAAGTAATGATCTTGGAAGGAGTGAACTCTGTATAGCATAGGCAGTAAAGGGACACTATTTTATGCACAGACACATAAATGGAAATGGTTTTATAATTGAATTTTCCTAACCACCAAGAGCCCCAACCCAGATGGGATGTCAAAGTAATTACAACGTACAACAAGAATAAATCTTTGGCTATGTTTTTAAACCATAGTTTATTACGTGTGATCCCATAAGCTATGATTTACATTTGCTCTGCAAAGTAGATGAAACTTTGGTTTGTTAAAATAAGTAAGAATTAATTCCTTGAATGCATAAAGGAAGAAGAAGGAGACAGTCCATGAAGTCAAGAGTGATTTTTACAGTAACAAATAATGGTTTGGTATGCTTATGAAGTAAGTTATTCTGATAAATGCTGGAAAGTTGGGTTATGTTTCTGATTAAACTAGGAGATTTAAGTGCAGGGCTGCACATGATCAGCTACACAAAATCACTGATTTGTAGACAAATGTAATGTCCATATTTCAGAACAATTTCAGTAACTATTTACATAAATAATCTTATGAGAAGAAATTTTTTTTCACATGAATGGCCAACTTCGTTATTTCCTTTCCCAGGCAATTCATTCATTTTTGAATGCCAGCATGATGACTGGACTGGTCGGTCAGATGCCATATTTTTAGTCTTCTCAGATGAGATGCTGTTCTTTCCCCTCTTTTTCCTTTTTAATTGTTTTTTTCCCTTCAGAAGTTTTTTTATAATCAAAATGGCCACTGAGAAGCAGTGCCTAAAGAAGCTCAATCATAAGAATCACAAGCTGATTCTCAGGTAGAAAGTTTGGGAGTGGAAATTATTTTATGAGAAGTTAGTTTAATAAACTAAATAAGGACTGCTTCTGATTTCTAGTATGCTTTACAGATAGTACTGGCTTAGCAACACTAATTGGGATTGGAAACCCCTTTAAGTGACATGGTGATAAGTTGAAAAATCTCATGACTTAGTGACAGCAATTCTGGTTGCTGTCATTAAGGATTGCATTGGTTATTAAACAAGGACCTCGCGTATCTATGACTTCTGACTTCCTGCTAGCTTCCTGATTAACTTTACTTGTAGGAAGCCAACAGGGAAGGTTGCCAATCATAATATGATCGTGGGATTTTGTGGACTGGGCATAAGTCCCGTTTGATTCCTATTGCAAGTTCAAACAATTGCCGAACAAATGCTCATTAAGCAAGGACCACCTGTGTTGTATTGGTCAGTGACGGAAATAAATATGATAAAGTGATAAAGTATGTATTAATAATAGTCAAGCAAGTATTAATCAGCTTTCTTACAACAAAAATGGCAGATTAATTAAAAACTAAAAAGGAAGACACAACCAAACAATTTTAAAAAATGCTTATGGGTTAGATTTGCAGATTTTTAAAAAATTAAATTACAGTAACCAGTACTGGGAAATATAAATGAATTGATACTATTAACATTTTTAAAAAGTGAAGAAAGCTTTATTAGTTATAGTGAAATAGAGAGATACAATTTTGACTCTTTAAAAAAATAGAGATGATAGAGGTAGAGAAGATACAAATAAAATAATTACTGCAAAATTTAAAAACAGCATTTGTTATTGGGTACATTCTAGTTGATACAGCTATGTCTACAGCTTAATGCTCCTTGTACTAGTCTTGTAACCACTTCAGCTAAATAAAGCGTTGCAACATTGCTATTGTGTACATAACCTGCTCATTTAGAAAGGCAATGATTGATGAATAACCCAGTGACAGAAAGAAGATAATTGTTTAGATTACCATTTCTATTCTGTACTAATTTTATTTGTGTAATCGTGACCTACATAGCTGAAAGAGCCATAGCAGCTATAATCCCTGCAGGTTGAAAAATTATATTTCATTGTTTCCAAAATCTTTTAGACTTGCAGACAGCTATCCAAAAAACAAATACATGTTTCCTTTGAAAGATATAATTTGTGATCCAGGATTATTTGAAATCTTCAGGAATATACAGCATCCCTATTTTCCTCTTATTCTTTTTGATTGTTTTCAAACAGCATAGAAACATTGGGGAAGATTGAGCATTCATTTTTATTGCTAGAACTTTTTAAGGGGAGGGATTTCTTTTTTGTTATCAACAGAATATCTGTGAGAGGTCTAGGTCATGTTTTATGAAGCTTCCAGGATTCACGAAGTTCTTGTTAAATAAACTTTGGAGGTTATGACCTTTGTCTCCTATGGTGCATGACAGGATATGAATGCACAAGGCACTTCAGATACTAATTGCCTTAGGGACCATGTTTCCAGACCTCCCCTAAATAATCCCAGAGATTATCCCAGTGTGTATTTCTTTCACCTTAGAAGATGCAGCTTAATTTTTGAGGTTCTCATATTATGCACTAGTCCTGGTCATGATTTATAAAAATTCCCCTTACAGGCCAGCTAGTAAGTGTCTCAGTTGTAATAAAAGGCTTTCTCTTTCCATATTTGAGTAACTAGAGTTATTGATCTTTTGACATCTGTGTCTTACCAGTTTAGAAGAGACACTTGATGTACATAGGGGAAGTAAAGATCACATGCATACTTATATGGGAGTAAATTTAATTGGGCACCCTAGCCTTTGTTTCTAAATAAACATACACAGACATAATTGCATTGCACGTTCTTGAACAGGATTTAATTTGTGTTTTTATATGGTAGATTACACTGAGGTTCTTAGAGGATAGGAAAGTAGCACCTCCAATAATTCATATGCTACCTATGTCAGTCATTTAGATATACCCACATTGAGCTACAAAGTCTGACAGAATATAGTATATTTTGGGGAGTGGGGTGAGAGAAACAGTTATGCTTACAAAAAGGTACCACTAAAAATAAGATAAATATGTGTGCTGGTAGTCCTTGCTTACCAACCGTTCAATCAGTGATTGCTCAGTGATTATGACAGTACTGAAAAAACAGATTTAAGCCTGATCCCCCAACATGTCAGCAATCCCAGCACTTGGCCCCTGGCTCACACTTATGATGTTTGCAGTATTCCACAGTCACGTGATTGCTATTTGTGACCTTCCCCAATGGCTTCCCACAAAAAAAGTAAATGACAAAGTATAAATCGTTTGCACCCTCCCCTTCCCAGTAGTACCTTCCCTGACCCTGCCATGCTCTCACTATGCTTCTCACTTACCTATTTGCCAGCCTCCCTTTGAACAGCCAAGAATGTGTATAATGACCCACAATTCTTGCTTAGTGATGGCAGTAGGGACTTCATCACTTAGCAACAGAGATTCTGGTCCCAATTATCATTGTTAACCGAGAACTGCTGTATTCAACTGAAATCTTAACAATTTTCCACCTGATTGGATCCTTAAAAATACAAGTAGTCCTCGACTTACAACCACAATTGGGATCAGAATTTCTGTTGCTAAGCAAGGAGGCTGTTAAGTGAGTCGTGGCCTTTTTTGCTATGGTTGTTAAGTCAAATCCCTGCAGCTGCTAAGCCAGGGGTAGGCAACCTTGGCTCTTTTATGACTCGTGGACTTCAACTACCAGAATTCCTGAGCCAGCTATGTCATAAAAGAGCCAAGGTTGTCTACCCCTGTGCTAAGCTAATCCAGTTTCCTCCATTGATTTTGCTCATTGGAAACTGGCTGGGAAGGTTGCAAACGGTGATCACAGGACCTCAGGATGCTGCAGTCGTCATAAATACATGCCGGTTGCCAAAACAGCTGCATTTTAAACTCATGATCATGTGGTTGCTGCGACTGTCATATGTGCGACGATCATGTATAAGCCTTTTTTTTTTCGGTACCATTGTAATTTTGAACGGTCACTGAATGAATGTTGTAAGTTGAGAACTACCTGTACAGTAACTTGAAAATTAAAGAATTCCTACTTGGGAAGGGGCAATTGCAAGGATGACTTGGCAGATTCAGAGAGGCAAGTTCTATTAGAGGCTTTCCAAGTATTTGCTAAAAACAGTTTTCAGCCCTGTTTTCAGCATAGTGAAATGCTGTTCCTAACATCA